TCAACCCTGAGCCGGTGAGATTTGAACCGCTGAACTGCTGATCTAGCAGTAGCCTGCAGTGCTGCATTTAACCACTGCGCCACCTTGGCTCCTAACCTTCCTAATCTTCAATTCAGTTCATTTAGTAATTGGTTGAAGTTACAAAGTTATGACCCTTTTTTCCCATGAATGTTGCAGTACCCCCTTGGTCACATGATCCTAATGCAGATGTCAACTCCTAACATTTCCATAGTAAGAGGGGTGGAGCGCATTCCACACATACTGCCGGCTGAAGTCGGATCTCAGATTACTGCAGCAGGCTTGGGAGGGGTGCACCTCATTTGGGAATGTGATTTGTGACACAGACTGAGGGGAGGGGAGGAACAGGGGATAAAGTTCAGATATAACTCAAACAAGGCTTAGATCTGGCTGCAAAAAGATCTTGCCTATGGTGCTCCTAACAAATGACACGTTTTGAATTGAAACTTGGCTCAATGCTCATGAATTAATTAGGGCATTTTTAGAAAACCTGACAGCAGATGCTTGGCAACCGACTCATATTTATACGTGTCGCAGGGTCACGTGATCACCTTTTGTGAACTTCTGACAAGCAAAGTCAACAGGATAGCCAGATCCACTTAACAACTATGTTACTAACTTAACAACTGCAGTGATTCACTTAACAACTATGTCAAGAAAAGTCGTAAAATGGGGCAAAACGCACTCAACAAATGTCTCACTTAACAAGGGAACTTTTGGGCTCAAAAAGTTAAGTAAGTCGAGGAACGCCTGTACTGTGGTGGACAAGAGAAGCATATGTATAAAGGAAGGCCCAGATCATGCGCTCTTTTTCCCAATCTCCAGCCCAGTCCAAGCTGGGATGACTGGAAATGGTTGTCTAATATTATTGTCTCATACTTGATGAAGGAAAACATTGACCTAGAGTAGTGGAGCGTATGGTTTTCCCAGTTGCAATGTATGGTTGTGAAAGTTGGACCATAAGGAAGGCTGAGCGCCAAAGAATNGTTACGAAAATTATAGAAGGGGTACACATGTGTCAAAAGTTTGGGAAACACTGCCTTAGACTGTGTAATATATACTATAAATAATGTATAATAATGTCTTATATCTGGACATGGGTTTTTATGCCAGATTTCAGTCCTGCAGGATATAAAGAGCAATTGCAAAATGTTCTCTGTCTTTCAAAATGTCATCCCTTCAAGGAAACACAAGTGATCCAGATCTTTGGAGGAGCAAACACCGCCAAAAATCACATATCCGTACATATATCCCTTCCCTACTCCTAACAATTGTTTTATTTTGGCTAAAAGCAGAAGACATGGTGAGAGATTTACTTTGAACAAAAAGGTACTGTACTTCTCAAAGTCAGTGTTTAAAATGTTCCCATCCTGCAAGGCAGGAGCTAAGAGAAGAAAAATAATTCAATATTCTTTTGCAACCAAATCTGAAATGTTACAACTGCATCTAAAAAACAACAACACCCAAGGCAGAATGCGAGAGAAGTAGAAATCAGCGAATGGATTGTTCGATTTGTGTTTATCCTTCTGTTTATAAGAGAACAGTTTTTAAAACAAAAACAAAATCCCCGATAGCTTTCCAATTCTTCATTCACTCACTGTCAGAAAGGCTGCGGTTATGACATTTGCAAGAAACATTTTGGATCTTGGCTGGCCTGAGGGAGGGATAAACCATTAAGCAGAGCCGATGGGGACAAGATTTCCAAGACTTGAGACAATGTCAGCCCTTGATCAGAAAGATCTTGTTTAATTTTTCTGCTCATCCTTAAACTTGCCTCTGCTTTGGGAACTGTTTCTCTGTAGGCTGCCGTCAAATCCTAGGAAGAAGCCTTGGATACAAACGTTGAAAATATAAAGTATAGTAAGCTCCCCTCCTCCAAATTTTCAAGTTTCTTGAGGACAGACTCCCAGATGTCTTCTTTCCAGCTAGATTTGCACAGAAGGGGAATGCAGGTAATAGCAATAGCAATAGCAATAGCAGTAGACTTATATACCGCTTCATAGG